TACACCAGTGCACACACCCGTCCCCTGTTCCCCAATACCCGTACACCAGCGTCCCCTCCTGCCCCCTTCTCCCCAACACCAGTGCGCACACCTGTCCACTGTTCCACCACCCGTACACCAGTGCACACACCCGTCCCCTGTTCCCCAATACCTGTACACCAGTGTGCACACCTGCCCACTGCTCCCCAACACCAGTGCGCACACCTGTCCACTGTTCCACCACCCGTACACCAGTGCACACACCCGTCCCCTGTTCCCCAATACCTGTACACCAGTGTGCACACCTGCCCACTGCTCCCCAACACCCACCCACTGCTCCCCAACACCTGTACACCAGTGCACACGCCCGCCCACTGCTCCCCAACATCCGTACACCGGTGCGCACACCCATCCACTGCTCCCCAACACCCGTACACCGGTGCGCACACCCATCCACTGCTCCCCAACACCCATCCACTGCTCCCCAACACCCATACAACGGTGCGCACAACCATCCACTGCTCCCCAACACCCGTACACCGGTGTGCACACCCATCCACTGTTCCCCAACACCTGTACACCAGTGCGCACACCCACCCACTGCTCCCCAACACCCGTACACCGGTGCGCACACCCTTCCACTGTTCCCCAACACCAGGACGCACACCTGTCCACTGTTCCCCACACCCGTACACCAGTGCGCACACCCGCCCACTGCTCCCCAACATCCGTACACCGGTGCGCACACCCATCCACTGCTCCCCAACACCCATCCACTGCTCCCCAACACCCATACAACGGTGCGCACAACCATCCACTGCTCCCCAACACCCGTACACCGGTGCGCACACCCACCCACTGCTCCCCAACACCTGTACACCGGTGCGCACACCCATCCACTGTTCCCCAACACCTGTACACCAGTGCGCACACCTGCCCACTGCTCCCCAACACCAGTGCGCACACACATCCACTGTTCCTTAACACCTGTACATCAGTGCACACACCCGTCCACTGTTCCCCAATATCAGTACACCAGTGCGCACACCCGTACACTGTTCCCCAACACCCGTACACCGGTGCGCACACCCACCCACTGCTCCCCAACACCCGTACACCGGTGCGCACACCCTTCCACTGTTCCCCAACACCAGGACGCACACCTGTCCACTGTTCCCCACACCCGTACACCAGTGTGCACACCCGCCCACTGCTCCCCAACACCTGTATACGAGTGCATGCACACTCACTGCTCCCCATCACCTTTATTTCAGTATATGCACACACTCATTGCTCCCCAACACCCACACATACCCACCTTCCCAGTATCCATATGCCCAATGCATACACCTCTCACCCACCTGCACCTCCCCAACACCCTCGTCCCCAGTGCACACAGTTCCCATTGTGCACCCCAGCACCCTCCAGCACATGCACCCCCAACCTTGTCGCCCCACCTCCGCTCAACAAGGGCCTGTAGCGTCTCCTACGTGGTCATGCTCACCGTGGTGCTCCTGTTCTAATAGATGTTCCTGCTCCCTCCCCCGCCGTTACTCTCGCTCATGTTCACACTTGCTGTTGTGCACTGGTGCACACCGGTTCTCTCATGCGCTCTCACGTTCGTCCACGCACCCACTGGTTCTGGACTCGCCGTCGGTTCATGTTCACGCTCTCCCTTTCGCTCCTGCAGGAGCGCGTCAGGCTTGTGGTGACATGCTCATTCTCAGCTTCTTCATTCTGGGCTCATGCTTCATCACTATGGAAGTCATCAATCGGGGCTCACGCTTGCTTGCCGTCTCTTGGGGGTTCCTGCTCGCTTGCCTTCTATGTGGGGCTCACGCTCGCTCAGTCTGGGGCTCACACTCACTTGCCCTTTGGGGGGCACATGCTCAGTCTGGGGCTCACGCTTGCTTGCCGTCTCTTGGAGGTTCCTGCTCGCTTGCCCTCTCTCGCTCAGTCTGGGGCTCACGCTTGCTTGCCGTCTCTTGGGGTTCCTGCTCGCTTGCCCTCTCTCGCTCAGTCTGGGGCTCACGCTTGCTTGCCGTCTCTTGGGGGTTCCTGCTCGCTTGCCTTCTATGTGGGGCTCACGCTCGCTCAGTCTGCGGCTCACACTCGCTTGCTCTCTGTGGGGTTCATGCTCGCTCTGTCTGGGGTTCTTGCTCACTTGACTTTGTGCTGGGGCTCACGCTCGCTGGCTGCACGCACATGACTCGCATTGGGGGGTGGCGGCGGCGGCAGCAGCAGGATTTGAAGGCGCTGATTTGCTCCCTCCCCCCGCAGCTGGGCTGGGCAGAGCAGTTTGTCCGGCTGCTAGCGTGGCCAAGCACCCCGCCCCATCCCTGCGTACACGGGGCGGGGAAAGCGGCAAGGCTGCTGTCCCTGGGTTGGCTGGCCCCTCTGGGTGGGCGTGCAGGGCCTTGCCTAGGTTTCTAGCATTGGGGAGAGACACTAAGTACCCTGCTCTGGGAGCAGATGAGTCCCAGAGGCAGCTCACCCAGCTCCGAGCTGCAGTTTGTTCCCTGGAGTTTCATCTGCAGGCCTCCTCCCCTCCGACTGTAAGGGCCCTTCTGCCTCGGGCTCATCCTGTGTTCCTGTCCCGGTGAGTGAGGTGCAGGCAGAGGGTGTGTGTGTCAGTGGCCGCCAGGTGGAGACAGACTCCCGTTCTCAGTGATGGCTGCCTCCCGAGCTCGGCCTGCTGCTGCCTCTGGCTCCGCGCTCCATGGCTGGCCTGTCTGTCTGTCCCCACCGCCGACAGACGCATGTCCGTGTTCTGAGTATAACTTGCCAAACTCTTTATTCTTTCGATATTTGCAGATATGTGCCACTGTTTCCAACTTTTCATCTACAAAAAGGCCTTTCCAACTCCTTCCAAATTAGAAGATCCAGGTGGTTACACACGGCACCTCTGTACAAATTCTCTCACTTTTCATTGCCTCTCCAGGGCCGGATAAGGGATGGGCACTGGGATTGATCTAAGATTAGAGGCTCGCCCGCCCGCCCTCCAGCCAGCATGGGTTCCCCTCCCGGAGACACGCAGGAGCCTTTTAACCCCCCCCAATGTAAAGTCTAGGAAGCGCTGAGACGGCCTGCGTCTGCACTCTAAGCTGGGACATTTCTGGGCCTGCCGGACGCTGTCTAGGCACTTTCCGTGTTCCGGGGATGCCAGCCGGACGACCCTCCTGGGATGGAAAGACCTGCAGACCCAGCGGGACCAGGGCAACGGCAGCAAGTGGAGATGGATGGGCCAAGGGACGCTTTGCTGCCACTAGCGCCTGCTGCTAGCACTCCGGCCCCTTCCTTCCTCCTGCATTTTCCTGCAGCCTGCATGGACTCCTGCTCCTCCTCCTCTTCCTCCTCGTGGCAGAGCAGCCATCTGTGTCTCTTTCATTTCTTCTCTTTCAATCTCCTGGTTTTATTCTGGGCCCAAAAGCGAGCGGATTGGTGTCCCAGGCGCGCGGGGCAGACACTCCTTTCTGATCCAAAGCACATGGGGAGCTCCCCACTTGCGGGAGCTCATAGGACACAAGGGAGAGACGTTGTTGCTGCCCTTCTGCTGCCATTGTTGTGATTCTGAATGTATTGATTGTGCTCCATGCCGTGTATGACTTGATATTTTCCTGTCTTAAGCACCTTGAATGAGTTCTGCTCAACAGACTGTATATTTCATATTGTATTTATTGGAGTTTGCTCTCACCACAGCCATCCTCAAGGAGTATCCGATACTGCTCTAGACTCTCTAGATGTATACTAGATAGTTATTGTCCATGCTCTTTTGTAAGGGGCTGGTCTCTCTGCCCAGTGACCTGTGCTACTTTGTATGGTGCAAGTGTGTTCACAGAATAAATCTGTTGGATTAGTAGGAGTGTGAGTTCCTTTCACTGCCTTGGCCTCTCCTGCTTCCATCCATGCTCCACCGACATCCCATGCTCTTCCTGTTTGTGTCACCGTGTGCTGTGTGCCCTCGAGGGAGTGAGGAGTCAGGGGCAGCCCTTTGCTGCGAGGAGAACGGCTCTGGGGCAGGGTGTTAGATGGTTTGGGGGGCTGGGCGGAAAGCTTGGGAGCAGGTGGGCTCTGGGGAGGCCAGGATGGGAGTTGAGTCTGATCACAGCGTCCTTAGAGGGGACGGGGAAGAGGCTGCCCTGGGGAGCGTGTGCTGGCCCGTTGGGGAGAAAAGTGGGCTGCGTGTTACTTCTTCCCCTGCCCCTGTGTCTAATGCGCCTGTGTCTCTTCTCTTCCAGTCTCGAAAGGGCGCAGACCCGGAGCGGGAGAAGAAGGTGCCGGAGTGCAAGGCGGACAGTATCGGCAGCGGGCGAGCCATTCCCATTAAGCAGGTTCGGATTCCCTGACCCTCCTAACCGTGCCAGAGCACTGCCCGCGAGGGCAAGGGTCCTCGGGCCTCCTGCAGGGCAGTAGGGCTTCTGAGCCGGGGCCGGGGCGTGCTGAATGGATATGCCATGGGTGCATGCTGGGCGAGGCCATGCAGATGTCCAAGTGGTAGCGGGGGAGTGTCTGTCTCTGGCTCATTGTGTTTCCATGCATGTGTCGCTGTCACCGGCTCTGCGTTCAGTGTGTGTGTGTGCGTAGCCCCCACCTGTGCCCCCTTGTGTGTGTGCACCTGTTGCGTGGGTGTTTGCCATCCTCGTGCTGGTACTAATGCTCCCCAGCAGAGGGCAGCAGAGCGCCGCTGCGGCTCAGTCGCTGGCTCCGGCTCCTGGCTCCGGCTCCTGGCCCTGGCCAGGGTTTGCTGTCTGAGGACACGCAGGCTCTGACCTCGTGTTGGGGAGCAGCGCGCGGTGACCGGCCCTGCACGGCCAGAGTGAGCCAGCTCAGGTTCTGCTCCTCCCCTGGGGTGGCTGGAGAGACGGGGAGAAGTGACTCCAGCCTGCAGCCGCTCTGTGTCCTGCAGCCCCAGCTGGGGTTCTGAGGGCAGGCTCCAGGGTGGGCGGATGTGGGAGTGGGGCCAGGGGCAGCTCTGGTGCAGTCCCAAGGAGGGGGCCCCAGGGCAGCGAGTGAAGGGGAAGGGAGGGGCCAGGTGTCATTCTGTTCCCATGGCAGCTCTGGGGGCGAAGACCGGGCCAGGTCTGGGTCGCTCGTGGGAAGGGGCAGCCAGGGCAGCTCTGGCTTCGGGGATAGGGAGAGCTGAGGTCAGCTCTGGCTCTGAGGCGATGGGGAGGGGTCTGCGGTTGGCGATGGGGAGGGTCTGGCGGTTGGCAATGGGGAGGGGTCTGCGGTTGGCGATGGGGAGGGGTCTGGTGGTTGGCTCTGGGCGATGGGGAGGGGTCTGTGGTTGTCTCTGGGCGATGGGGAAGGGTCTGCGGCTGGCTCTGGGGAGGGGTCTGTGGCTGGCTCTGGGCGATGGGGAGGGGTCTGTGGTTGTCTCTGGGGAGGGGTCTGCGGTTGGCTCTGGGCGATGGGGAGGGGTCTGCGGTTGTCTCTGGGCGAGGGGTCTGCGGTTGGCTCTGGGCGATGGGGAGGGGTCTGCGGGTGGCTCTGGGGGGT